CCCGCCCAGCCTGTTGCAGAGGCCGGAGGCCCCTGTCCTCCCTCCCCAGCCTCCTCTTTGCCGTGTCCCCAGGGTTAAACTCAGCCCTCCCCAGAAGATGTCTTCAGCACAGGCAAATCTTCAGCAACACCCACCTTCCCGGGATTTTTTGGACCAAGTCCTCCTTCTTACCCCCAGATCTGGGGTCCCCGGGCGGGTTTTTGCAGCTCCCAGGTGTTTGGGTGCGGTGCACCCCTTGGCACTCGCACACCTCCATGCCTGTCCGGGGCTGGCTCCCCTCCCGCCTGGAGCCTGCTGGCTCGGCTGGGAGCCCCAGGTCTCGATCCGTGCTTGGGGTGCTGCTGCTAACCGGGCTCAGTGCTGGGACAGCAGCCTGGCTGAAATCCCAGGGGCCACGTCGGGTTCCTAAAGAGGGGTGTCCTCCCGACGGCAATGAAAGATCTCCCCAAAATCCAGGAGAGAGAGAACACCCTGCCTGCTCTGCGGGGACTCTCTGTGACTGCTGAAATTGCTGCATGGGGGCAGAGCTCTGATCCTAAAAATCTAAATTGAAAGTGCAAAAGCTTCTCTTTGCAAATGCACGCTGATTTTTCAGTATCTTAACAGCTCTGCCGTGGAGCCCACCAGCCCTGCATGCTGCTCACTGTTGTGGAGACTCTAAGCACACCTTTCTCGGTGAGCCATTAACATTGCTGAACTGCAAATAATAGGACTGGAAACCGCCTTTATCTTTAATCTCTCTTGCTTTGTAAATCAGGTTTTGTGCCTATTAATTTCTGGGCAGGTGCCTTAATTAAAATTTGGGGTGTGAAGATTAATGATAAATCTGTGTCACGCTCCTTTCTCCTGGGAGCCAGCCAGTTTCAGCCTGCCCTTGACTACGGGCTTGCTAAGGCTCTCTCACAGCAGCTCAGAGAATTTCCTCGTCATCTCGGTCCTTTGTTCTCCTCTCCCCACAGCCTCTGTGGAGCTACACACCGATAATTAAGGTTTATGCAAACGACAGTCACCTCAGTTACCAGCAAGCCGTAATAAATTGGTTTGAACAAGAACGCGGCAGCAGAAATTTCAAGGGGATGAGCATTTCGAAAGGGACGTGTCAAGGGTAAAACTCATCTCTCAAAAGGGGTTTTCCTTCTGCATATTGGTAATAAAATCAGGGCCACCGGGGAACAAAAAAGGCTGCGATTTCCATAGTCACCTTGAGGGCCTGCATCCTGTCATCCTCAGTTTCTATGGAAATGGGCAGCCACCTGGTATTGCGTAGGTCGGCAGTGCCTCCCCGGCTTCTCCTCCGAGGGCTGGGGCTGGCTCTCCGCTGGCTGCCGCGCACCGGCAAAACGCCCCGACTCGCGCGGCCTCAGCACCCTGGGCTTGGCCTGGGGGCCTTCCCAGTCTTTTTCATTGCATTCAAATAAAGAAACGCCAACAGCTTTTGTAAATGGCTTTTATAAATCCTTGTGCCTAAGTGCGGAGCTTGAACAGTAAGCCTGAATTATTTATTTGGCTCCTTAAACAAACATCCAGGTGAGTTTTAACATCAGTCTTTGTGTCAGGGAGGAATCCAGGTAAAATTGCAAGAACAAATTGTCCTGCAGCAAATTTATGGCAGAGGGTTGGCCTGGCCCCCACCCTCCATGCTGAGTAATAGCTGCTCTCCTTGTCTGGACACCCCCTTCAAGGAGCACCTCTGTGGGCTCCTGGTTGAATAGTACCTGTGACACCAACCGCACCGTTCCTGTCACGAGTAATGCAATATGGGATGTCCCTTCACTAGCTCATTGCTTGTGTCAAATTTATTTTAAAGCTTTTCTTGGCCTGGAAGTTGTGTATGTCTGTGGGGATGCAGTGTGTGGAGGGGTAATGGGAAGACTTTTGGGGTTTCAGAGCTCAGCGTGAGAGAGGGGCACCCCCAGCTTGTTTCCCCACCAGGGGATTTTTAATACTGCCTAAACCCACACATGCTGCCCAGTGCTGAGGACGTGGTAAAAGAAAGGAAGTTTTGCACATCTCGTAGTGTCTGCCTTGGACGCAACACAAACCTGGTCTTGGTGGCCAGCATGTCCATCTGACTGACGCATCGTGCCCTTCAGCATCCCTGGGGCTTGTCCATCATGGTCTTGGATAGCTGCCCTGCTCAGCACAAAAATCGTTGCCTGAATTACCAATGGTGTAGGATTGGATGTGGGAGCAGATGGGATCGCACCGGCACTGCTGAGCCCTTTGGGTACCCGTGCCCTGCAGCCCCCGGGGCGCTGGCCCTCGCCCCCGCCCGGCCCGGATGCCCGCCTGTCTGCCCTGTCCGCAGCCCCTCTCCCAAAAGCGCGACTCTGCCTCCGCAAAGCCCTGCGCCCCCTCACACCCGGCTGTAGTAGGCAGCTGTCTCCCTTCGGGGCACAGGGGGGTGTGCGGGGGGCTGCCCTTCCCCTGCCCAGCCGTTGCCACTGGGGAGGGCAGGCGAGGGGAG